ATTGCCTCTGACCTCCTTAGGCAAACTTCCACCTTCCTGATTGTTCCCACCAATCTACTCCAGCTCTATTATAAGTGGGAGCCAGGCCCTGGGAAGTGTGCCTGGTCAGCTGGGCAATGCTCCAAATTCCCCCTGCAGTCTCACGACCCCAGTCAAAGGCCTTTCTTTCCACCAGAAAGTCAGCCTCTAAGAAGTTTATCTGATGGATTCAGTCACATTGCCATGTAAATGACTGATGAGAAAGCAAAGGCCCTCCCTTTGAGACTGGTAACCTAACAGAGTGAGTGTTGCAGGCTTGGGTTTCCTTAGGGTCCTCTGTTGGCCAAAACATTGAAAAGTTTTCACCCTCCTCAAAATGAGTTATTTCAGTGAAAGCCACTCAGTGCATTAGTTTGCTAGGGTTGCCATAATGAAGTCTCACGAAGTGGGTGGCTTAAACAATAGAAATGTATTGTCTCATTGTTCTGGAGGCTAGAAGTCTGAAATCAAGGAGTCAGCAGGGCTGCTGCCTTCTGAGGACTGTAAGGGACAATCTGTTCCATGCCTCTCCCCCAGCGTCTGGTGGTCGCGGGCATCCATCAGCTTGTAGATGGCATTCCCCCTGTGTCTTCACACCATGTTCCTTCTGTACATTCCTCCCGTTTACACATTCAAATTTCCCCATTTTATAAGGACACCAGTCATATTGGGTTAGGGACCACCCAATGACCTCATCTTAATTTGATCATCTGCAAAGACTCTATTTCCAAATAATGTCACGTTCACAGGTCCCAGGGGTCTGGGACTCCAACATCTTTCAGAATGACATAGTTAAACTCATAACACTTAGGTACAGCGTATCCTTATTTATGTCAAGGATGCTTTCCTGAAAATCTCATATAATTTGAAGCTTTCATAATTAATTTTTCTAAAGGGAAAACAATAGTTGGGGGCAACATGGAGGGACAGTTATCTCAAAATGTATTTATCATGTTGTTCTTTAATATTTCTTTTCTTTTCTCAGTATCCTCTCTAATATTTTCCTTCACTAAATTTATTGCCCAGCCTAACTCAGTGGTCATCTGGCTTGCATAATGGCATTTTATGTAATTTTCACTGCAAAGGTACTGATTTTTCAGACTTGATTTTCAGCATTTGCACAAGCAATATGACAATGACATCTTGGATGATATTGTTACACGATACAAAAAGTTTTAAATGTTTAAGTAGCAATCAACATTAAAATAACAGCACAAAAGGGGCCAAAAGCCCTTGCAGAGATTCTGGTGCATACATGTGCGGGTGATCCACAGCCTGCTGACAAGGGAAGCAAGGTATTTCCATTAATTGAGTAGCTAAAGTGACATCGTCACCTGGCGATAGTGTGAACACAGTATGCAATTCATACAGGCCCCCTGCTTTGATATCGTGTGAATTTGTTTTTAATTTGAGGAATTCATAGCCTTTTTTCAAATTTATGTAAGCAATCGAGACTTTGTTATTACTTCCAGATCACGTTACTTCAAATTCACATAGTCTGAATTTGCATTAAATGCCACTGGACTGTGTAATAAGCATCTTTCCTTCAGTAGGAAGAATTGTAGATCGGAACTATCCAGAGGAAACAAGGCAGATAGAAGCTACATGCCTAGTTACAGAGGTCAGCTTTGTGTAGATCAGGAAGAAGTGGGTTTAGACACGTCTCACGGTCTTTAAATTACTTATTCCCTGGTCCCTTCTGCCTACCTCTGAAGTCTACTAACAAAAAAAATATAACCTTTGGTATGTATTCTTTTGTCCTCTCCACCTCTAGCCACCAAAATAAGCCTATCACCTCTTGGTATAAATGCTAAGCTCCTACAGCAAAATGACCTAAAGGTGACATGAGGCAGTAAGCACTCAGTGGTGTCTTGCTGCGGTGGCCTCAGATCAGGGGTCCTGAGACTTGCCTTTTAGGGCTTGGCTCTGCCATCAACAAGTTATACTTCCTGGGACAACTTGTCTAACTTCTCTGGGTTTTCATGTCCTCAAAGGAAGAGGTTTTTGTACATTTTTGTACATTTGGTACATTACAGTGATGGAACGACAAAGGCAACACAGGAGATGCATGACTGTGCCCTCTTGGAGGGAAGCACGGGTCATGAGAAAGGGATCTCCAATCATGAGCCATCTTTTCTCACCACTAAACCCATGGTTCTTCTGAGTCCCCAGGTGGTGCTGAGGTCTCCTGGGGAGCCCCTTAGGCTGCTCCCACCAGTTTTGCTAACTTTCTCATTGTGAATGGCCTCACCCGCCCCACTGCACCCAGGGGCTTTAGTCGGCACCTTCACCCAGCCCTGATGGGGAAGAAAAGATACTAGCAGTGCTGCGCTGATCCTGACTTTGACTGTCCAGCAGGTCCCCGACAGGTCCACCCTTGGACTCTTGGATAGAAGGACCCTAGGTAGACACACATTGTCCATTTTTCTGACCAAAACACATGATTTGTTTCCCAAGAGATCTGTGAGTTTTCAAATAATCTGAAAACTATACCAATCAAATCATATTTATTTAAGCCTGTAATTAATGGTCTTCATCAAAAAAGAACAAAATTACAGTAAATTCATCTACCCAAGGATATCAGGGTGGGACCTGCGGCCACTAAGTTCCCCGTTAATAGTGAGGAACGAGAATCCTCTCCTTGACCCCAATCAATCTCTATTGCTAATTCCAAAGCCCAGCCCCATTTCTGCTTTCCAAAATCCTTCCCTGTCTACATAAAGGAAGACATTAATTTTCATCCTCATGGAAAAATAAACAAAAGGAAGAACACATCTCTTCCCAGTCGTTAGGAATGTAAAAATGCATTTGGTTTGCAGGAGAAGGCTTGTTACTTTCACCCCCTCCTCAGGGGTGGTAATTCTCAGAAAGGTATGAAATTTTAACTTTAGGTTTCATGCTTGACATCTGGATGGATTTATTTATGTTTGATTGTTTCTCATCTTGGGAAGGTGGGAATGGGGAGAGAGAGGCATTAACTTCTCTTGCCTGCCCACCAGCACTGGCAGCCACTGGTGCCCATAAAGACAGTGGGAGATGAGCTGGGATTCCAACGTCTGTGAACCAGGTCCCCATTGGAGCTGATGTGGCAGTTGGAGCCAGAACGTTGAAGTCAGTAAGACAGAGCCACGCCTCTTCAAGGTGCAGTGAGGCAGAGTCACTTCCGAGGGGAGGTAAAAAGTCTTCACAGGTAGGAGTATCAGTCTACTCATACTGTTCTTGAAAAGATGCTCAGAAAAAGGTTGATGAAGACATCAGAACACACAGTTAGTTTAGAGCCATTTAGCCATTTTTTCTGTAGTCATCTAGAAGGTCATTAGAATTGTCAACAGCTGATGTCGCATGCCAGTTTGTTTGCAGAACTCAATTACCACACACAAAAGCCCTCTCGTCTCAGATCAGTTTACTTGCCTGCCAACTTTCAGAAAAGAGAAACAGATGTTTCTCATGCTCTGACTTCAGTGGGCCTCCAACTGACCCCTCCAGCAGCAGAGACCTGGTCTCAGCCCAATGGGGGCCTTTGAAGCAAAGTCCTAGCTCCCCTCTGGCATCCGGTCCACCCTCCCCACCTGACCCCACCCCCTCGGCTCTGAGGCTCTCAGGTCCAGTCGGTGCTTAGAGGAACCAGGTCTTTCCTAAATTTTTTCTTTTTTAAAAGACAGAGAAATGATATTTTTCCCCTCGTTTCGAAAATAACCAAGAGCTGCAGTGCTAACTCTCAAGGTGAACTTGGCTGATGGAGGCATAATTGTGGACTCTGTGACCTGCCAGCTTGAGTGACAGGATGTTTACAGTCATTAGGAGACTCTGAGAATTGAGACTCTGAGTTTTGAAGGCCTCTGTAGATTTCTTGATTTTTTTTGAGTGCTTCAAAGTCGAGTGGTTTTTTCTTAAGGGCATCATTTAGGAATCATCTATCTTACATTTCCTAATCTGGGTATTTAAACTTCTATGTCATTTATCAATACAGTAGAGGCACTAATGATTAATAATTATAAGTGAGGAGCTGTAAAGGTTCAGAGTGTGCAGTCACTTAGAGAGGCAGCGCAGCCCAGGGATCAGGGGCCCAGGCTCCAGAGCCAGCCTGCTGGGTGACCTTGGGCAAGTGACAACCTCTCTGAGCCTGTTTTGCCATTTGTAAAAAGCACATGAGAAAAGTACCTCTTCACCTGATTTTTGTGAGGCCTAGAACAGTGGGGAATAGGTGAGAGCTGATGGTATGAATAATTTTTCAGAAGCACAAATTTGAATCACACGTGCTGTGGGACTGACATGCAAGAGCTCATCCCCTGCCTTAAGAGACGGGCTGTGGGAGGTCAACAAGGAAAGAATGAATACATTAATAATGATGCTGGGACAGTTGGTGACCCCTGTGGGGAGAAAGTGAAAATACAGCCCTACTTCTCTACTCTCATATACAAAAATCAATCGTAGACAGAAATAAATTAAGTACTTAAATATAAAAGGTAAAACAATTTTTTTAGAGGAAAACAGAGAATATCATTATGGCCTTAGCATAGACGAGGTTTTTTTTTAAGCTAAAAATAGATCAAATTATGTTTTAAAAGCTATTAATAAACTCAACTACCTTAAAATGAAGCACTGCGGCTCATTAAGATACCACAGAATATTGAAAAGAGATTTGTAACACATTTGACTGACAAAAGATTCATACCTAGAATAAAAGATTTTAAAAGACGATCTCTTCAAATTCTTGATAGTCATCAAGCCCATAAATCAATAAGAAAAAAAGTAAACAACCTAATTTACAAAATGAGCAAAAGACCTGAACAGGGTATTTCACAGAAGAGGAAACACGGAAGTTAATGAACATACGAAAATATGCTCAATGTCATTAGTAGACAAGACAATGCAAGTTAAAATCACAATGAAATGCCATTTCACACCCACCAAGTTGATAAAATACAAAGCATGGCTGGACAGCAGTGATCAGATGCACTGCCAGTGGGAGGTGCAGGGGTATAACCATTTGTAACACAATTAGGTGTTGCCAAGTAGAGTTGGATACCTACAACCCTACATCCCAGAGAGTCCACTCCTAAGGGTAGATTCCAAACTTTGCTGCATGTCACAGTCACCTGGCATGCTTTTAGAAATCCTGATTCCCAGGCTGCCACCCAAAATAATTTAATAAGAATCTCTAGGGGTGGGAGTAAGGCATCGGTATTTTTTTTAAAAATTCAGATTATTCCTATGTGTCACCAAGCTCCCCAGCCAGTAGTACCCCCTGCCTGTGACCTTTAGCTATTCCTCAGATGGTGCTGAAGTGGAGGATGCTCAGATTTGATGGGACTCCTGGAAGGCTGCAAGCACGGTGAGCAAAATCCCACACAGGTTTCCCTTCCACGGGCACCACGTGCAGGAAAGGGGTCCTCTCCACTCTGGGTCTCTGCCTTTTGTGCCACATAGAAAGCAAAGTCCTCCAGGAGCCCCACTGGTCCAAAGTGTAGCCATGACCGTCTTTCCACACACCGGTTGGGTAGCTCTGCTCAAATTGTGCAGGCTGAGGACGGGGCTGGTAGGGCTGAGGCTGGGCAGTTCTGGCGGGACTCCCAGAACCTGCAGCCTTAGTCAGGGGTCTCTAAAGTGGGGGCTTCCCACGGTTTGTAGCTGACATTCCCTTTCGTGACACCCATACAGCCGCAGAGTGACTGCTCTAACCAGACAGGCCTCCTCAGAAAATAAGAGTTTCCTCATTATTTTGTAACAGTTGATATAAAAAATTGCAATTAAGTTTGAAATCCAGTTGCATTACCAAGGGATTTTTCAACCTAACATCTGTCAATGAAAGGAAAGGAAGAGCTGTTTTATTCTTTAAGTCTTCTTTTTGAATTATTACATGGTTTTAAACATTTTTATTCCCTACCTTGAGAGTAGTGGCTTTTGTCCATAGTGACTATCAAGAATTTAAAGAGATCATCATTTAAAATCTTGATCAAAATTGCATGCAACCATTGCATGCATAAAGCCTGATTTTTTAGAAATGTGTGTTCGAGGAAGAAATCTCAAGTTTCTCTTTTTGAAAAATGTGAAAAGATTCTATGTAGCAGTGTTATACTTTTTCCTAAAGTAATTATGTAATATTAAAAATCATTTTCTTAATATAATTATGTAACATTAAAAAACAGTTCTTTTTTCACCAATACCTGTGGAGGTTCTCCCAAATTCAGCTCACCCCAAAGCACTAAACAAATACCATCTTTTGCAATGTGGGCCATGACAGCTCAGGAAGCATGGCTTTAAAGAGAAACTTTTGCATGAAAAAGCATGAAAGAATGTATTTTATTGTGGCATTCTTCTTAATAGTAAAACAAACAGAAAATCACCCAAAAGGTCACCATCAACAGAATGGATAAACACTTGCCCCTTCAACGGAATAGGACACGGTAGGGAAAATCAGTGACCTACAGCAACACGGCACCATGAGTGAATCTCAAAAGCTTTACATTAAGCAAGGGGAAAAAAGCAAGTCACAGAAGAAAATGTACAAAGTTCAAAACTAGGCAAAACCAAACCCTAAAAAGGGGGTGGGGTGGGGGGAGAAGGGATTAGAAAGATTTAGAGTTACCAACTTGCATATGTAACAGCGAAACTATTTTGCAATCATTGCATTTTATTTTGTCCTCAAAACCCACTTTTCACTGGCTGAGAGACTCTAGAACTTTGCATTTCAAGGTAAACCTTTGCCTTCTGGCTTTTTGCTCAGGCTTTCCTTTGGGCAAACATTTCACCCTGCTCCCCACCTGTCTGCTGTTTCTCCCCGCCTCCTCGGACGTGAGCTTACTTCCTGGGGCGCGGAGGTTTAAGTGCAGCCTGAGGGCCCCCATCTTCTCCTCCATGTAGGCCCATCAGGTGCTGACAGCCACGACAGTGTTACTGGTCCTGCCAGATCTTTGCTCACAGCCTTCTGACCCTACTGCAGCAAATGGCTGAAACACTCGCCTGAGCTTCCCTGCCCTTTGCCAGTGAATCCAGCTTGACCGACTATCCCTGAAGAGTCAGAATGGGCTCTTCCATCATATTGAATTCTTCCCCATTCTCTAAAAACTGAAAAACCCTTTTTCTTTCAAAATCTTGGCTCTGGCTCTATGACCAGAAGTTTTCAAAATAGTTGACTCTACGCAGAAACTTGGCTGATCTGAGTCCGTCCTCTCCCGGAGCACTGGATGACTCAGTGGGGGGAGAGCTGGGGCAACAAGCAAACCGAGGAAAGGAGGAACATCTGTTGTTTTCTCGGAACCGAATCTCACCACAGCAGAACCCACGGCACCACGAGAGCTTAGCAAACAGCTTTACAAGTTTAAATAATGCTTTATTTACCTCATCCTTTGGGAAATCTACAGAGGGTTTTTTTTTTTCTTTCCAACAGATGTTCACTACCTGAAACTCCCACTTTTTGTTTTTAATGTAGCAATTCTTGATGGAAATATTTTTACCAGATATTTATTCTAAATTTATTCCATGTATAATCCAGAAGATAGTGACTTGATTTTCCAAAGGTTATCTTCTCAAGAATATCAATTATTATCCCATTCAGTAGCTCTGGGGGTTGTCATGGGTGAAGGAAATGGCCAGGATGACTTGACTTTTCACTACAGCCTCGCCTACCTGCTCCTCTTTCTTCCATCAGCTGCTCTCAGGGCTGCCAGCCCTGTCAATCAGAAGCGGTACCCAGCACCCATTCAGTCCATAGCAGGTAGACCTCGCTTCTCTAGATGTGGTCCTGGGACCAGCAGCATCAGCATCACCAAGGAACTTTTCGAAATGGAGAATCTTGGGGCCCTTCCCAGATACACTGAATCAGAGTCTGCATTTTATCAAGATCCCAAGGTGATTCGTAGGCACATTATAATTGGTGAAGTACTGCTCCAAATTCAGCCCTGCCTTCATTCCCAAGATATGTTAATTCCATCCAGGCTGAGACCTGAGCCACTCCTCCCCTCTGTGACCCACACAATCCTGATTTAGATGACTGTGGACCAGCACTGGGTCAACATTACTAGGTACAGAACGGTTTCCAGTATAAGATGACCTAGTACAATTGTCCCTAACCCAGAGTCTGGCCTGATGTTGGGACAGTAACTCGGGGAAGCAGCTGAGGGGAAAAAGAACACAGTGCAAAGAGCAGCCTGAGACACTTTTACGTACAGAAACCCCATCAGCTCTATTGCAATGACCAGTCATTGCACGCGTGGTCACACACACACACGCACACACACACACAAACAACCTTTGTCCAGCATATCCCCCAGACTGTACTGCTGTGACTTATTTTATCTACAAACATCCCTTGGTGTCTGTTACAAATTGATTTCACCTGAATGACAATTTTCCCTGGGTTAGTGAGATGAGCATGACCTGGAGAAGAGAGGGACAGAGAGCATGAGCTCAGTTGGGCTCTTTCACCCCCGTCTGGATCCGATGACTATAGGTCTGGGGAAAGTGTCCTGGGCCCGGACCGCCCGGGTTCAAGACCTCGCTTTGCCTGTGTCACTGAATGGTGCAGTGCGAGCTATTTCAGCTCTCTGCCTCAGCTTCCTCACCTGAAATATAGAGATGCTCCTAACTGCACCTACCTTTCAGGGTGAGTGTAAGAATTATCTAAATTAATACATATACAGTGCTTAGAGCCATAGCTGATACATATAATAAGTTCTCAACAAATAATTGTTGCTATTATCATTATTATTATACCCAAATAGAAGGTCTTAAGCCATTTTTATTTCCTCCTTAAGACTTTCTTTTTTCTTTATTTTTGCTGTGAGACCTTGGTTCAATTTATTTACCATCTTGGAGCCTCAGTTTCCTCTTCAGTAAAAAGAAGATAAGCCTAGTATTCGTCTCACAGAGGAGCAAGAGTAAAACGAGAAGGTTTGTACAGAAGCACCTGGCAGAGTACCTGGCACACCTGAGCAACTCTTAGCTGCTTTCGTTCTTTCACCGTGGAGACAGTCAATACAGCGAAAGAAGATGTGTTATCTGACATGCAGAGCTCACATTCAAGATGCCAGTCCCGGGAAATGTCCATTCACTCAGCTGAAATTCCCCTTTCACTGGAGCCTCCCCACCTCCCTCAGGGACCCCGTGACTCTCTATTCTGACCTGTCCTAAAGCACTTAGCCCACTGGGTCGTGGCACATCTGCTTGTATGTACATGAAGGAGAATCAGTAAGCCCTGGGGTTGTCAGAAAGTCACTGAGAGTTCATCGCAAACATAAGATGCAGGAGAGGGAAGAAGGGGGTATGAAGGGTGGGCTGTATTGAGCTGTAAGACTGATGGATTTTATCCAGGGTGACCACTGTTTTTAAAATCCCTAATTTCTCTAATATGGCCTTTTTACCCAGGTTTTCCAAGACACACCTCTATCCTAAGCAACCATTCCTTTTGGCCCTGCCGAGGACCAACAGAGCATCCTCTCCTAGGGAAACCTTTTGAAGAGGGAGTAGAGTGTGCCATTGGGTTTGCCACGGCCAAATACCCAGGAATTCAATTAGTCCTAAGGTCCAAGCTCAAGTTTCCAGTGCCTGGCTCTCATGGCCTCCAGGCTCTGTGCTCAGTTTTTAAGTCAAGGCATGCTACAGACTAAATCGTGACCCCCTCCTCACTCAAATTCATTTGTTGCCCCTCATGTGACTATCTGGAGAGAGGGCCTTTACGGAGATAATTAAAGTTAAATGCAGTCATAAGAATGGGCCCTAAACCCCTAGGACTGGTGTTCTTATAAGAAGAGGAAGAGCCACCGGAGAGTTCCTCCTCCCTCGCACGTGCACAGGGAAAAGGCCAAGCGGGGACACAGTGAGAAGGTGGGAAGAGGGGTCTCACCGCAAACCAGCCCCAACAGCACCCTGACCTTGGGCACCCAGCCTCCAGAGCACGAAGATAGATTTCTGCTGTCTAAACCACCCTGCCGACGGTATTTTGTGCGGTCAGCCCTAGCAGGCTGACATAGACCATAAAGGTCCTAACAGGTCTCCTCAATGACTGGGAGACACCCCAATGCAGTAAAATTCCCCACAGGCTTCTTCAGAGGAATACGTTTCTGGGACACCTTTTGCCCCAGCGATGCTTCCTCACCCGCTGACTTCTATGTTCAAAGAGAAGCTTCCCTTCCTGCTGACTTCAAGCATCCTGTAGAATAAGGATCAGCAACAGGCCAGGCGCGGTCTACTCTCAGCCACGGAAAGACTCCCCGAGGGACCGAGGAACACAGCCAGAGAATCTCCTCAGCCTGGCGTCTCTGCTCCTATGCAAAGAGGGGCTCGTGGGGAGAGGATTTACCCACGTGACAAAATTGCCATCAGTAACCGCTAATGAACGGCTACTGCTCCACACAGACCACCTGCCGCCGCCCGACAGCACAAAGCGCGACATTTCAGCAGCACTTCTCTGTCTAACACAAATTATCTTATTTTCACAAGCAACCGGAGCTGCCCAAAGCCCCAGCGGGCAAACACAGCCTGGCAGATGCCACGATGCGCCCGAGAGTACGAGGTCCTGGGAAGGGAACTGGCTGGTTTGCGCACCTCCCCAGGTCCCCGCCGGCAGACAGAAGGCGACAGACACAAACTGACCTGCATGTTAATGTCCCCCAAGTGCAGAGAACAGGATGTGGGAGATGCAGAGGTGAAATTGGTAGGGAAGGGCTTTAAAGGGAAACAAAACGCTTCTCACCCCTTTAGCCACTGAAGAGATTTTCAGATGATTCAAAGGCAAAGGCAGCCGATAAATAAGGTACAAGCATGTTAATATGTTTTTGATTGGTAAAGCAATTCAGGGCTATCTTAAATGCTTCATAAGATAGAAATCTTTATGTTTACAAAGAGGGAAGAAAAATGGTTAATTGGATTCCTTTGAATAAAGGGCCATTAAAGCGTATTTTCACAAAAATCGGTAGCATCTTGCCCAGGGATGCTTGACTCTATAAGAATCCCTCGGGGACTGTGGGAAATCACGCCTTCTCCAGTGGCAGCCTCTTAGCTACATCCTCTACACCCCCACCATGCCCCCTGCCAAGAGCTTTGTAAGATGCACAACTCTTCACATCCCCCTTTTTTGCCCTCAAACTAAAAGCTAAAATCATCAGCGTGGTCCGTAAGTCCCTTCATGACAGCCTTTGCCTAATCCTACCCACCTGCCCCGCCATCATCTCTGACTCTCAGATATCCCTTCTCACCACCAACATCTCAAACCACTCACTCGCAAGCTTTCTTCATCTCCGCAACTTTGCATATACTCTTTCCTCCTCTACTCTGCTGAGTGAGTTATGACCCGGTCTTCCACGTATGGGTCCAATTTACCCTTCTGTTCAAAGCTTCCCTGATGCTTCTAGGTGCTATTGCTTGCTCCCTCCTCTACCCGCTCAGAATCCGCCATGCAGCCCTCTGACGTGGGGTCAGTATTCCGTCCTGTAACTACTTGTCGGGATGTCTTGATACATGTTGAGATGGTAGGTCCAGGAGGCAGGGACCTTTCTTATTTTTCTTTGAGTCTCTTTGATACCCTCTAAGCCAAGCATATTATCTGTTCACCTAGGAAATTCTTTTCCTATTAAAGTATGTGGAACCAGACAAATGAAAAACACAAGGTGATTCATAAAATGTCTTAAAGCATATAGGCAAGGTAATGTTTGCTGAAAAATGTAGAAAAGCAGATATCTAAAAATGACTTTCAACTACAAAAGGGAGGGAGGAAGGAAGGAAAGGAGGAAAGAAGGAAGGAGGGAGGGAAGGAAGGTGTGTGACTTCTAAGACTAGGTCATAAAAGGCACTGCCGCTTCCTCCTTGCTCACGCTGTCTTCTCTCTTGAATCGCTTACTCTGAGCAAATGCCATCTGCCGTGTCAGGAAGACCCTCACAACAGCCCTATAGAGAGGTTAAGGTGATAAGGAATTTATGACTCCTGCCAATAGCCAGTGATAAACTGAGCCGGACGTCCTCCCCACAGCCACAAGAGAGGGCCATGCTGGAATTCTTCTTCCAGCCCCAGTCCAGCCGTCAGAAGGTTGCAGCCCCAGCCAACATCATGACTGCAGTCTCATGAGAGGGCTGTACGAGAAACCCTCAGCGAAGCTGCTTGGATTCTGACCCACAAAAACTGTGTGAGACAAGGTTTATTGTTTTAAGCCACTAAGTTTTGGGAAATTTATTACATAGCAATAGATAATTAAGGCAGCATGGATTCACACACGAAGCAAAAGACTAAGTGAAGTATCTCTTATCACTAAATGGGATTTTGGGACCAGACCCAATATGGAATCTTTGATGGAGGCTCAGTGACTGTCTCGCTTAAACTTGGCAGCTATGAGACAGGGGCAAAGCTGAGAGAGACGCTTCCTCTCTGCCTTTCCTTGAGGCCCAGACTCATAGTCTAGCCCTCTAATTATTGCCAGTCAAATGACCAGGGAAGGCGGTTCCAAGGAAAAACATGCCAAGAAAAAGCAAGGAAGAGGGAGGCTGAATCTGAATCTGACCAACAGACCCATGGAGGTAGGGGGCAGGCAAGAGAAAGCAGCTTGCAAGAGGAAGCAGCCTTTTTACAGAAGTAGTCCCAGGAGAAAGGAGAACAAACCTGCAGAGAAGAAAGAGAAAAACTTTCCCTTCTGACCTAAAATCAAAACCACTTTCATTGTTTCTCAAAATTCTCCACCTTCGAGTGCTCAGAGTCATTGAAAGTCCCTGTACTCAGATCCATTCACATGAGGTTCCTCTGGCCTTGGATGCACTCGGTTAACGCAAAGATGCTTTATGCCTTCCCTGGAGGCCAAATGGCATTGTCTCCTGTCCTCCTAGAGCTATTGTTCTCTGCTTTCTAATAATGAAGGCTGGAATCTGATCTAATTCTATGATACAATAACAATTTCTAATAACAGCCTATCTTCTCAAGCTCATTTTCACTTAGTAACATCATACTAGAGTACAGAGAGCCACTCAAAGTGTTTTCACATTGAGACCTTGTTAAACTGGCTTCAATGGGCCAGAGTATTTAGTACATTAATTGTTTATACACAGCAACAAACATTAATTGCATGAGTTCATTAATATCTAAAGTTCTTAATATTTTTTCCTAAATTAAAACTGTCCACTTTTATTGAATTTTCAGTAATTATTTCCATCTTGACCGATAAGCTCGTGTTATGCTTTGGGTGAATTATCAGCAAATTGCTGAATTTGTGGAGCTCAAGTGAAAGGAATGTTTCACCAGCAATAACTTTTTAACTGTTGCCCAGCAG